AATGATTATTTCCTTACATTTTGTAAAGTTAACTTAAATAAATTATTTTTTAAGGTATGTATAACTTTTTAAATTAAAATTCAATATTAATTTTTTTTATCAAAATTTGATTGAATTCTAAATTATTTTATTTTTAATACAATTACATGAAGATCTTTCCATAATTACTCACATTCTAACTAATATGTGTGTATGTACATATATAGCCTTAGAGAGCCACCAGCTAAAGAAAACCGGAAGCTTACATTTCTCTTTAATGAGCTTTTAATCAGTTTCGTAGGTAGCTGCTAGCCAGGAAAATGCTATGTGCTTACTGAGAATAGGCCAAATAAGCGCATCGTTGCCTCATTTTTCACTTCTCTCGAAAGAATTATCGTTTTTCAGAAATTCTAGCCATCTTTGAAGAATAAATGGTTGGAATTTTTAAAAGATTTTATATGAGAAAATATATTTTAGTTTCTATGGTATTAATAGTTGTGAGTACGAGTAGGAAGCTATTTTTGGCTTGCTATCAGTTCTTACTGAACTGAACTTACCTACAAGTACCTACTTAACTTTAAGAGCAACAACAAGCAAACCAAATCATAAGCAAGATCTTGAATAGAATTGTGTTCGATTAATCAGGTGGTCTATAGTACATATGTATACTATTTTTCATATTTATTTTCACATGTGGACGTCATTTTAGATTTCAGATAGCACAGTTTACGAAAATTTTTGCCTCAGAACGTTTGTAACGAACTTAGAAAAACAATAAAAGCACATGGCTGCCATACAAGCTGAATGATCAAAATCAAGTGCTTGTAAGGAAAACTTTGTTATTTGCCAAGAAAACTTCGCATAATTTTTTCAAGAATATTTTGCAAGCAACGCACCAACCTCTAAATAAATCATACAGATCGGTCCGCCATTACTTGGACATGTGACACTTGAGAAAGTGCTTTTGTATGAAACCCTAATGCCGGCGTGTATTCGTTATTGCTTTACTACAGTACAATTCATTCTTTGTTTATTAACATAAGTATTATCAACATTTATGACATAGCGCGTATTCGCCGGAAAGTCTATCTACGCTTAACTGTGTAAATAAACGGCAATGATCGGGCACTTATGACTCAGATCGCTAACTGAGTGCTTTGTCCACCGTAGAGTGAGCGAGTGATATAATCTGGGTAAGCGAGTGAGTGAGGTAGTAGTGGCAACATTTAATAACACAAATAAATGGTGAAAAAAAAAAAAAAAAAAATTATAAAAAAATATACTTAATAAAAACCTTTACCGGCTTGTCCAGTAGTGTTAATTAGCGTTGTAATTTTAATTGATTGTTTAATTATTCTTTACTTACTGTAGGTACTTTTTTATTAATAATTAAAATTTGCAGCTGTTTTGCACAGAAAGAGTTGTTTTGAAACGTGTAAAACAATTTTTATATAAGAATATAATTTATACACAATCATTTACATATGTGAAGTTTGACAGTTTTACCACATCACCGCTGCAAGCGCACTGAGTTTGCTAATCGAGCTATTTTTAAAACTTTCGTCAAATATTTTTATACAAAATTCAGTGATGTTACAAAAATTTGAATGTAAATGAAACGAAAACGCATTTTCGGCCTTTGATTAGAAGTTACTTTTTAAAATAAAAGCTTCATACCCCGGATAAGTTGTAAAGCATATCATTATAATTGTATATATTGAAATTTGTATGTACTGAAAAATTGTATAGAAGTTTTGCCAGCTTTTCTTTATTTTAACGAGTGTTCGTTTGCTACTCGTTTACATTAAAAAGAGTCTTATAACTGCTGTTGTTAAAATCTATAGTGTTCTTAATTAAGCGACCTTCTCATAAGGATTTCCAAGCATTTTAGTCAACGTGGCTGTGAATTTGAATTTTTGGTGCTAAAATAAGCGATTGGATGTTGAAGACTACTATTTTCTTGGTGATGATTAGTATAGATTTTTAAAGATCCATATATTTAAATA